ACACACACACACACACACACACACACACACACACACACACACACACACACCCGAAGTCAAAGAAAGCTCTGCAGTACGACCTCGCCAAATTCTCAATGTGTCATTCATTACTCCCTTAGCAGATGGGTAAATTGAGGCCCAGGAAGGCAAAGCAGCTTGCGGAGTGGGGGTGGGGGCGCAGCTAAATAGTGTAAGGCTACGGTATGCACCAGGAGTAACCCCCAAAGCGTTCCCAGCCTTCCCTACCCCCACTCCACAGGAACAAGATGCGGAAGAGATTAATTGATGGGGGTTCCAGGGATGGGAAACCTTAGGGATCGCGTAAGGTTACTCAGGGGCTCGACTGGCGACGCAGTACTGGCAAAGATTAGGAATGCTTGGCTCGGAGGAAGGAAGCTTCCGGCACCCGGACCCCAGGTCAGGGAGCCAAGGCTCCTGAGACCTTGTTTTGCCGGTGTCAGGTAGCTCCAATCTCCAAAAGTGGGGAAAACCCCTCGCACTTAACAGGGACCCTCCGAAATCCCAGGTCATCCCCTCTACCTACGCGAGCGAAGAGAGCATCTGAAGCCCCTCAAAGAGCTAATGGGGCCCCAGCTTTCCTGGGGAGCAGGAAAAGACGCCCCCAACTCCTTAATCCCCTTCCATCCCGGCGCTGGGCCCCCTCCCCACCGCAGCTCAGGCCAAGGCTTACCTTGCAGGGGGGCTAGGGAGGGAATGCCCCACCCTCTTCGGCCGGGGGTGGGGGACAGGGGTTTCCAGACCCTTTGTTTGCTGGTGTGTGTGTGTGCGTATGAATGTGAATGTGTATGTGTGCGCGCGATTGTGAGACCCGCCGGGTGCAGGTCCGTGAACGCGCGTGCCCGGGCTGTGACGGCCACTGAAAGTGTTGGACTCCAGGGTTGAAGGGGAAAGGGACCCGGGGAGGAGGACTCCCCCATCCCCGCCCGCCCACTCTCCCTCTTGAATGGAGCGCGAGGGGGAGGGGCGACCGCGAGAGGGCGCTTTGTCTAGAAGGCCCTTCCCCCTCCCAGGCCGGGGAATCCCCTCTCCATCTGAAGCCTTTTACTCTTTCCCCCGCAGAACCCCTCCCCCACCTTGCTGGAAGGCAGGGAAGAGGCGCCCCTCACCCAAGTGGCCGGAACCCCTCCCACCCCTCTTCCCCCAGCCGAGCACCCCTTAATCTGAGATAATCCCGGCCTTTGGCTGCAACACGGCTTTTTTATCCCCATATCAAAGCGTGGGTTGGGAGGTAGAAAAGTGCGCACTAGGTCTCCCAAGCTGAGTGGTACCCTTCAGGCCCCAACCGAGGTTAGAGACCCATATAACTATGAGCATGTTAGACTGCTGTGACACGAAAAGCCCCTACCCCCACCCCCGGCGCTTCCGAACGCGCCGGACCCCGACTCCTGGGCACCAGGACGGCTCAGGTCGCTGTGACTAGACATTAGCGACACTCAGCGGCCGCGGAGAGACGGCGTCCGAAGCCGGATCCGAGGGTCTTCGGTGATTCAGCGGGTGCACGTGCGCAGGTTCTGGCCCACGAATCGCTGGAGAAGGGGGCGGGGGACTCCGTGTTAGGAGCCCAGAAACACCAGCTGGCTGGGCAGGGCCACAATCCCGCCCACCTCCTAACTCTCAGCAGGGCAGGGTCACACCCCTCCCCTTCAGGCGCCCTAGAATAGTGCCCTGTCGCCCCTTAACTGGGAAAGTCGCAACAGGTCAGGCACTCCAGTCTAAGTCCTCCCTCGCCAGGGGCAAGGAGCAGAGCTGAGGCCCCGCCCCTGCAGGGGGTCCTTGCTGATGTCACTGCGGCGTGGCAAGGGGACAATCCTCTTCCTGAGTCTCGTCAAATGCCTACCGCCGGGTAACGAAAGACGACGAGAGACAGTGGTTGGAGCCACCACTCGTCTGCCCACCGGAAGTGCCGAAAAGGAACTCCAGCGGCTGAGCCAGGGTCCTGTCGCTAGCTCCCGGAGCTCTGAGACACGTGCAGAGGGCCCCTTAGGGCGGGCCGGGTTGCCAGGGCCGCCGCGGGGGTTACTAAGGATGTGACGTCACGCGTGCCCGGGCGTGTGCGCCCGAGCGGAAGCGGAAGGGGCGGGGTACTGCGGGCCGAGTCTTAGGTCCTGCTGCCTCCTCCGGTGCCGCCGCTGCTGGAGAGGGTACGGGCTGGGCCGCCGAGGCAAGATGGTGGACTACAGCGTGTGGGACCACATCGAGGTGTCTGACGATGAGGACGAGACGCACCCCAACATTGACACAGCCAGCCTCTTCCGCTGGCGGCACCAGGTAGAGCGTGCGCGCCCATCCTCCCCCGCTCGGGACCCCGAATATTGCAAAGTTCTGACCCCTTAATGCTGCCCAGGGTTCCTGGCGGGACACTTGGGTTCCTGCCCCGCACGCTAGATTTATAAATTCTTCCATTCAACTCCGGGACCTAAGGGCTTCACCATGGTCTATATGTCCAAACTGAGCCTCGGGAGACCCCCCAGTTCTATATGGACCTTTCATTTCCACCCAGAACTCCGCCTCAGAGTCTCGACCCCGAATTCTGCTAGATGATCCCCGATTCTATTCAGGTACTATTTCTCATTTGTGGTCCTCCATCAAGCTCTCTTCGACTCCTATGGTCAGAACCCTTGGTGCCTTTTTTTTTTTCCCCCTCTTAAGAGACTCACTGGGGCTGGTGAGATGGCTCAGTGGTCTAAAGCACCTATTTGGAATAGGCTTGGCAAAGCACAGGGACCGCGGTTCAATGCCCCAGCACCACATACTAGCCAGCCCCGCCCCCTGGTGGGCTGAGCTGGCCCCCCCCACAAATAAATAAATAATTTATTTTTTAAAAAAAAAAGAGACTCACTGTTTAGGCCTGGAACTCCTGGTCCTCCTGCCTCAACCTTCTGAGTGCTGGGGTCATGGTGAGCACTTTGCACCACCCCTCTGGACTCGATGTTGTGATTCTGTCCTGGGCTCTGCTTCTCTGGGTCGTGACCAGAGAGTTCCATTTAAGATCCAGAGACCCCACTGCTTTTCCATATTGAACTCTGCCCTACCTAAGGGATTCTGTTCCTGACCTGGAACCCACTTCCTACATTGTAGACCCATCCCCCACCCCCGGCCCCTGCACCCCCCATCCAGGGTCCGAATATCTACCTAAGACTTGGGGTTTTGGAACCAGGTCCTTCTCTGTATATCAACCACCAGCTCTACCTGGAGAGAGCATTGATCTCCCACCACTCACTGTAGGTACACCTTCAGGAGTTCCTGCCCTCCAGCTACACAATGAAATCACGCCCACTTAGCTTCCTGTCCAGCCAGTGCCTTTTCCTTATTCGCTATTGCAGACCTGATCACCGCCTGCCGCTCACTGCCTTCCTGTGTGAATCTTCACCAGCATTGGAAACCCTCACCCAAGTAAAGCCCCGGACCCCAAGCCCTGAGCCCTGGCACCTTCTGTTCCCAGCCTCATTTGCTGTTCTCAATTAGGGGACCTTCTTGGCCTTATTACAATTTCACCACCCTCTCTACCCGTTTCTGAAAAAGTCAGGATGCCCTCCCAGTCCAGGCCCTGGAATCCCTAGCCTGGGCCATCTATCATCTACCACACCTCTTCCTGCCTAGTAGTCAGACCTGCCCACAGGTCTGAAGGTCTAACTTCCTGCTCCCTTAAATCAAAGCTCTTGTGCCCACATGCTTGTTCCTGTTACTCAGATTGAGGGCATAGCCTTATCAGAGCCTTCCAGTTAAAAAGTGGTCACCCCACCTTTCTGTAGGAATCTGAAGTCACTCATCTGGAATCTTCTAGAGGGCCGTTCCCCATCCTTCTGGGATGTGCCATTGGCTCCTACTGCTGGCCTTTTGTCCCATCTCCTGAAGCCATTCCTGAAATTCCTACCCCCTTGTTAGAACCTGCCATGGGAGTATGGAAAAAAAGTTCTAGCACTTACATTTCTGTGTCTAGTGTCTTATTATGAACTATTTAAGATCTCTGTCAAGCTGTAAAGACTACTGTAGGGAACACCTTTTGTCACCTAGAGAGGGTAGTCGTAGTACCTCCTGGAAAAGTTTGGGCCTCCCAGGTAGGCGGCAGCTCCTTGTCCTGGCACAGAGCCATTTCCAGTCCCGTTGTGGACACAGTAGGAAGGTAGGAATCAGGCCTCAGTGTGCCAACCGTGCCCCTTCTTCAGGCCATGATGCCAGGAGAATCACTCCCTCTCAGAGGTTGAGTGAAGTAGGATAAGATGGCCATATCTTTGTGAGACCCTTGGAGGTCTACACTGAGGAGGTGGGGGTGTAGCTCAATGGTGAGTACTTGCCTGGCAAGAATGAGTCTCCCTGGGTTCCCAAATAATGAGGGTTGGGGAGATGGCTCAGTAGAATAAGTGCTTCCCTGGCAAGCACAGGGCCTGAGTTCAATCCCTGGTTCCACAAAAAAACAAACAACAACAACAAAAAAAAAAAAACCAAAAACCAAAAACCAACAAAATAAAGAATGAAATGAGCTGGGCATATTGGCAGGTACCTGTAATCCCAGCAGTCATGAGACTGAGGCAGGAAATTGCTGTGAGTGTTGAGACCAGCCTGAACTACATATTGAGATCCTGTCTTAAATTTTTTTTTAAATGTATTTGGTACAGGGTCTCACTACATAGAACAGTCTTGCAGTGATTCTCCTGTTTTCAGCCTCCCAAGCACTGGGATTACAGGTGCGTGCCACCACACCCAGTCTCATCCATCCCTGGCCACTGTTCTGCCTAAGCAGGTGCTTTAGGCTGCTGAGCTGTCTGGCTGACCCTCCTGCCTCAAATTTTTAAAAAGGATGAAATGATCATAGCTTTGAAAAGGTCTTGGGCAGGAACTAGGAGGCAGTAAATAGTCTGGAGATGGAGTAGGAGTTAGTTAAAAGACTACTAGTAATCAGGTTCATGGTTCCCCGCATGACCACATACAGGGTACAGATGCCAGCTCTTTGTGAATCATTGATGTCCTATGTGATGTCCGCAACTTGTTGGACCTCTTTGTGCCTTGGTGTCCCCAGCTGAGAATATGAATAGGACTCATCCCCCTGTAGGGTTGCAGTCAGGGTTGTCTTGTTCATTTAATTTGGGACTGCTTTTGGGGTAATAGCTGCTTTTATCATTTAGGTAGTGGTTTATGTTTGCTAAAAAAAAAAATTAGCTTGGGGACTGGGGAGATAGCTCAGCAGCTTAAGCGCCTGCTTGGCAAGTGCAAAATCCTGAGTTGGATCCCTGGTACCGCAAAAACAAAATAAAAAATGCACTAATTAAAAAAAAAAAAAAAAAACCTTATAATTCCAGCACTGAGGGAAGCCGGGCCAGGAAGGAGATAGCTGAGGAGAGGCTCTTCCCAGCCCCAGCTGCCCAACCCATCCCAAGATGAGTCAATGTGAGCCTACTTCCCCATCTGTGAGGCAGGAGAATGGTGCCACCCACAGAGCCCCCTTGCTCTCATGGCTTCTGCCTGACTCAGCCTGCCACAAGCCCCTCGTATGGGAGGTGTAAAAGCCCCTGCTGAGCAGGCTGCTCCCTGACTCCTGGAGGCCTTTTATAGCTTTGGTGTCCCTGGCAGCCACTCAGAGGACATTGGGCAGGACAGTAGCAACCCTGGAAGCCAGCTGAGTGTCAGGTTTCTGCTGCTGCCTGGAGTCAACTTAGTGCTGACCCTCATTAGGTGGGAGGCTGAGGCAGGAGGATCATAAATTCAAGGCAGAGCATCCTAAAGGCCCCAGCGTGGCACAGTCCCACCAGGGCAGCAGACCTGAGTCTTACCCATCCTGTGCCTGGCTTTGTGCCTCCTGGGCACACTGCCTCTGAGCAGGCACAAAAGTGAGTCTGTGGGCCATTCTGGTGGCAGTGACGAGGATGGGTGACCGAGCACCATGCAGGACGTGTTCTTGGAGCAGTCACATACACAGCGCTCCCAGCAGCCCTGGGAGGCCCCATTTCACAGAGCAGAAAAGCAAGGCCCAGAGGCTTCAGCCACCAACCAGGTGACCCAGAAGTGGCAGGGAGGAGGGTCCCAGATGGGTGACAGCCCTCTCAATCGCTAGCTGTTTCCTCCTGGCCAGCAACCAATCAAAGCACGTGAGGTTCGTTTCTTTAAGCCTCAGAACAGTTCCAGAGAGACACAGATTGTCCCCTGGCATAGGTGATGTAGATAGCAATGGTTGCAGCTGGCACAGGAGTGGCGCTGCTGGAGGGTCCAGCGCAGCCTGAGTTTTTCGCATTAGCAGTCATCTCTTCTGCCTCAGCACATGCAGACAGATAGCCACTGACTCACCAGGGTCCCAGTCTGGTCTTCCCTCTTGGGGTCCTGAGAGTTCAGCCCGGGGAGTGCCGTGCTGCCTTGCCAGCTCTGTTCAGATTTTGAGGCAGGTTCTAGCTGAGTCAGTGAGTCACTTAGACTGGGCCCAGACTTGTGATCCTACTGCATCAGCCTCCCAGACTGTTGGGATCGCAGGGCTGCACCACTGTGCCCGGCCCAGAGGTGCGTTCTGAGGGAGGAATTGGAGCTGTCCCTCAGCTTTCAGGCAGAGGTAAGCTCAGCATACCTGTGAAGGCTTCAGTCAAAGATAGCACCATTTGACTAGCCAAAAAAAAAAAACACACACACTTCCTGGGCAAGGAGATGGCTCAGTAGAATAAGTGCTTCCCTGGAAAGCGCAAGGGCCTGAGTTCAATCCCTGGTTCCACAAAAAAAAAAAAAAAAAAAAAAAAAAAAAACACCTAGAACTGGGGACAGATGGCTCCCATCCAGCATCTCGCTACCTGCTCCCCATTTCTCGAGCCCCAACTGCCAGGCCTGGAGATACAGCAGCAAGCAAGCCCCAGACTTCATAGAGCTAATATCTTGGAGGAGAACAGTGCCAAAAACGTAACAAGTGAATGTCCCAAGCTTTTAGTGGGTGACTGGTAATGAATGAGAAAGGCATAGCTGGGCAAGAGTGAGAGGTGAGGGTTGGTGAGATAGCTCCGCGGTGGTCTGCAGTGCCTCAGCAGATGAGCTTAGCCTTGCCAGCCCCGCCCTCAAGGCAGACTGAGTTGTGCCCCCCCCCCCCAAAAAAAAAGTGAGATTGAGGTTGGAGGATCCTGAATTCAAGCCAGCCTAAGTGGGCAAGACTGATTTTGTGAGACCCTGGGTTTAATCCCTAGTGCTGGGCAGATGCACGGAGCCTTGTGCACCACAGTGAAGACCCAGGCTTTGCTCTTTCTGAGTGAGGTGGGTGCTGCAGAGGGGGTGGAGCAGAGGCAGGACCTGGGCCCCCAGTGAGGGAGGAAGCCAGGAGACCATGGCAGGGAAGGGTGTATGACGCCGCCCTGGCCCTGCCACAGGCTCGAGTGGAGCGCATGGAGCAGTTCCAGAAGGAGAAGGAGGAGCTGGACAGGGGCTGCCGCGAGTGCAAGCGCAAAGTAGCCGAGTGCCAGAGGAAGCTGAAGGAGCTGGAGGTGGCCGAGGGCGGCCAGGCAGAGCTGGAGCGGCTGCAGGCCGAGGCGCAGCAGCTGCGCAAGGAGGAGCGGAGTTGGGAGCAGAAGCTGGAGGAGATGCGCAAGAAGGAGAAGAGCATGCCTTGGAACGTGGACACGCTCAGCAAGGACGGCTTCAGCAAGGTGCGCACTGGGCCCGGGGCGGGACGTGGGCTCCTGCAGGAGACGAGTGCTGGAGGCCAGCATGCACGCGCAGCCAGCATTGCACAGGGGGCCTGGGTACACTTGGTGGAGGGGTGCTGGGCTGGTTTCTAGGTTTCTTCCCATGCACTGCAGGAAAATAAAAATAGCTGGGGAAAAAACAGCTGGACATAGTGGTGCATGCCTGTAATCCCAGCACTCTAGGAAGCTGAATCAGTATCACAAGTTTGAACCCAGTTTGAGCCACTTAGTAACTTAGCAAGATCTTGTCATGAAAAATAAAGGGCTGGAGATGCAGATCAGTGCCAAGGCCCTGGGTTCCAGCCCAGCACCACTCAATTAAACATTAAAAATGAGAGCAGTGTGGGGCAGGTGGGCAGGAAGGACATCCTAGTGCAGGGGCTGGGCAGGTGACGCACCCCACCTGTCCCCATCCTCTCTGATCTACCCGAAGGCCCACTCTTCCATCACCTTGGAGCTCACAGTGCCAACACCGAGTCCACCTCCACCGTGGATGGGATGGGCGAGGCGGCCGAGGCCCCCCCGTGGCCCCAGGCGCCCCGAGGCCCTGCCCCAGCCCTCTTCTCCTGTCACCCTCTCACAGAGCATGGTGAATACCAAGCCTGAGAAGGCAGAGGAGGAATCAGAGGAGGTTAGGGAGCAAAAACACAAAACCTTTGTGGAGAAGTATGAGAAGCAGATCAAGCACTTTGGTGAGTGACACTGGGGTGCCATAGTCAGGTGGGGGCGGCTGGCTGTGGTGGCGTGGCCAGCACCTTCCCAACCTGTTCCTGCAGGCATGCTCCGCCGCTGGGACGACAGCCAGAAGTACCTGTCGGACAACGTGCACCTGGTGTGCGAGGAGACAGCTAACTACCTGGTGATCTGGTGTATTGACCTGGAGGTGGAGGAGGTGAGCTGGGCCCGGACAGGCTGGGGGAGCGCTGCCTGGTGGCCACGCAGTGACACTGTACCTCCGTCCTTGGCAGAAATGTGCACTCATGGAGCAGGTGGCCCACCAGACCATCGTCATGCAGTTCATCCTGGAGCTGGCCAAGAGCCTCAAGGTGGACCCCCGTGCCTGCTTCCGGCAGTTCTTCACAAAGATTAAGGTGGGGGCTTGGGCTGCTGTGACCGGGTCACCCTGCCAGCATTAAGTTTGTGATGAGAAGTCCTATGGGTACAGGGCTGAGTTAAAGTTTTTGAGCTGGGCACATGGAGAAAACTCCCCTTCCTGACATGGGGGGGTGCCACGCCAGATGGGTGGAGTCAGCTCTCATGAGCTGGCTGTGTTTTTTTG